GAGCAAAGCCCAGGATAATAAAATTGAGGGTACAATCGTAACTAGGTAAGAGGGCCAAGCTGAAGCTAAGATGACATTAGGCCAGCTGATACACCAAATAAACAATGAGCAAGACCCAGGGTAATAAAATTGAGGGTGCAGTCGTAACTAGGTAAGAGGGCCAAGTTGAAGCTAAGATGACATTAGGCCAGCTGATGCTCTGCTCTCCCAATCCTGCGAGAAAGTAAATCTATGGCTGTGTTCCTGGGATGCAGGAGGTTCAGCTCTGGTGTAGCTTGGCACCACCTCCTGCTGGCTGATCACAGCCAGTGTGGGTGGCATTTGTGCTGGCAGATCCTTCTGGAGGCAGCACAAGGCGTGGAAGAAGTTCTGTACGTACAAGATGCTTTGGCCCTTTCCAGACCCGCCAAGTCAAGTGCACCCTTGAGTTAGGATTACACTGCCTGTTTGCTTCTGACTTATTATGAGTTGCGACCCCAAGCTCCCAGAGGTGTAAAGCCCAGATTCCCTCCCCTGTCCTTTTTAGAGATGCATAGCAGATAAAGGTCAACAGTCAAATGGGGCTTTTCCTGCCACACTGCAAAAAGTAACTCTGTGTTGGCTAGAGTCTAGACGACACGGGTGCATAGTTCCTGCAATCGGTCAAGTGCGTGGCAAACAGCAAGGGTGGGGGGGGCAGGGGGCAATAGCCACAAGCAGTTCTGTGCAAAAGCAGGTGTGGAGGACTTTTGGTTCACCAGATGTTTTGGACTTCCGTTCCCATAAGTCCTAGCTGGCATGGCAAACGCTGCACCCTTTGGAGACCAAAAGATGGACTTGCGCTCTGGATATTGTTAGCACTTTAAGAAGAATCACTTTTGGAATGGAAAACAGAACGAAGGCTCAGAGCCCCTGTAAAGGGTTTGCTCAGCTTTAAGAGGGCTTTGGTGTTTGACACTTTCTTAGAATGGATTCATGACTGTTTTGTAGCATCCAAAACATCAACATTTATTTCTGGTAAGTCTAAGAAGGTATGAACATCAACAAGGATATCCAACTTCCCCTCCTCACACAACGGTGGGTGGAAGGGGTTCAAGTCTTGAACACAGAATGGGTTAACTGGGGGGGTTTCAAACAGTCCTATCTTAGCTCACTCCTCTCTTATTCTTTCCCCCCACTCTCGGGCTTCCTTCTCATCCCATAGGATAGTTTTTGTGGTCTTGCCTCCCTTCTTCTCCTCTCGGCTTCCTCATGCAGAATCCTAAGTTTCTCCCACTGTCCACATGGTCACTCTCCATACGGTTCAGGACTTAGTTATGGGTTTCTCCTTCCTCTCGATGGGAAATGACAGCACTCAAGCTGGGATGGTACTGGACCAGCCATCCTCCTCAAAGCCCTCCACTGGCATACAAAGGAACTCCAGATGGGACCTTCCCCTTCCCTCAACTAGCAAGTGGAAGGTGCCCTTCCATTTCATATATTTGCTGAATTTCAGAACCAAGGATCAAACATTTGAATTTGCTTTTCTTCCTCACTCTCTTTTTCCTTTTGTGTCGTGTCTTTTAGAATGCATCTCTTGTTTCTAATATTTGCAAGATGATTTGAAAGGCTCTCAGGGTGAAGAGGAGTCAAAATGTCAAAAACTTAATTACCTCCTTTGTAGATCAGCAGCAAGTCACATTTCACCCGGGTGCTATCTAGGCATCTCGCGTACTGCTTATAAGTCCAAGATTTGCCATTGCCAGGTAGCTGCTTTGGGGCTGAGGGCGTGGCTTGACATTTCTAATGCCTCTGACAGTAGCCTGATGTGAAAAGTCAGCTCCTGGTATTTTCCAGAACAGAAGGGATAAAGATAATTCTCCTGTTATTGTCTGCAAACTACCGCACTGTTTTTCAAAGATGCAGGAGAGACAGCTAGTTAAAAAAAGCGGACAAGCCTACCCATGGTGTTTCATATAGTAGTGCCCACCTCTGTTTACTAATCCCGCCTCCACCTTTCAGTTCTCTTATCTGATATCTGCTGCCAGAATCATCTATCCTGTTAATCTAACTATAAGACACCCATCTTTAAAACATATGGTGGTATCAATGTATTCGCGAAGGCTTTCAAGGCCGGGATCTAATGGTTGTTGTGGGTTTTTCGGGCTCTTTGGCCATGTTCTGAAGGTTGTTCTTCCTAACGGATCGCCAGTCTCCGTGGACGGCATCTTCAGAGGACAGGAGTAGCACTCTGTGCTCTGGTGCAGTTTGTTTGGGAGTTGAGTATTTACTTTAAGCATGCTACTCCTGTCCTCAGAACACAGCCAAAGAACCCGAAAAACCCACCACAACCATATGGTGGTATCGTTGTTGTAGGTTTTTCGGGGTGTTTGGCGGTGTTCGGGAGGGTTTTCTTCCTAACATTTCACCAGTCTTTGTAGCTGGCAAAAGATTAGGAAGAAAAACATCCAGAACGTGGCCAAACAGAATGAAAAAAACTGCAACAACCATCGGATCCCCGTTGTGAAAGCCTTTGAGAATATATATGGTGGTATCTTCGCCACTCTTTGATCCAGTCTAGAGTTCTCATTCTAATGTTCAAAGTCTGCTCCTCCCATTACTTACCCTATTTGTCTTCCACTCACCTTCTCTCATCTCAGCCCTCTAGTTCCCTGAAATGACTCTGCCCTTTCTCCCTCACTTTCCTGTTCAAGAATGCCTTGATGACACCACCTCTTCTTTCAGGGGTGGACAACTGTGGCCCTTCAAATGTAGTTTGCTCATTTAAGCTAGAGTTTCCACAGCCCAAGCAAGAGTAGGGGAAAGATTATGGGAGCTTCCGCCCCAAACATCAAGGGGGCAGAGGTGTAGTGGAGCCACGGCCTGCAGAGTCAAAAGAAATATAACATAGTCTGCTGGTCCTATCAGGCTTCCTTATGAGTTTAGCTGCAATCATGATTACTAGGAGAGAAGCAGATTTTCCCAGGAGCAGCGTATTTTTGCAAGTCACCCTTGCTCTAATGCAAAGTACTGTATTTAAAGGCATCTTGGTCTTGAATGAGCTACTAAAACCATTCACTTTCTAAAAGAACTATCTTCATTTGCTGATATGGCTCAATCCAGTTTTCTGCAATGTTGGATTCCTGTGATTCAAGGGTGTTCATCATGACTGGTCAACCTTCAGCCGTTCTTCATGAGATTCCCAGTTCCTCCTGGGCAATGTTCTTTTGCTAGTTCCTGAAACAGTCTGCTTTCTGGGACCTCTGGGTTCATATTCACTGAAGAGAGTCTCCCAGTGGGGGTATATCATAGACATTCCACATAGGCCACGTGCTTGATGAGATGTCAGAGAAAAGCATTAGAGGTGCTTGAGCTGGAATACAGCTGAGGAAAGTAAAATCATTTTTGCTTCTAGGAAGGAAATGAGAAAACTCCAAGAACATGTTGGTTGCTATGGGAGAACGGATGCTTTAAGATTCTGTCATGTTTACCGTGTATGTTTGGGAGTGAACAGGTATTACAAAAAATAACACAAAAGAGCATCATCTGTAGGGAACTGACCTTGGAAAAGGTTCCCTTTGAAGCTTCTCGCTGCTCAAGAAAGCAGGAGACATGAAATAATATCAGTTTTGAATAAGCTACTCAGAAACTGAGGCATATTTCCAGCATGTCCTGTTTGTTTTCCTTATTTAAATCTCTATTTTCTTCTGCCTTTACAGGAGCACACCTACTTGTGTAATTATAGGTAAGTATAATTACAAATATGTAATAACTAAACATTAAAGAATATTAAATATGTGTAAAGATGTATAAAGAAATATGGTACTTTGCTCACTGTGGAGAACTGTGAAAGAGTTCTTGATCAAGTAATGGGTAGAGGTACATGTGACAGATTTTACTTTCTTGGGCTCCATGATCACTGCAGATGGAGACAGCAGCCACAAAATTAAAAGACGCCTGCTTCTTGGGAGGAAAGCGATGACAAACCTTGACAGCATCTTAAAAAGCAGAGACATCACCTTGCCGACAGAAGTCCGAATAGTCAAAGCTATGGTTTTTTCCTGTCGTGATGTATGGAAGTGAGAGCTGGACCATAAAGAAAGCTGACCGCTAAAGAATTGATGCCTTTGAATTGTGGTGCTGGAGGAGGCTCTTGAGAGTCCCCTGGAC